GCCGCTCGGAGCCGGGGGTCGACTCCCCCTACCGCGTGCCAGTGGTGTCTCCTCTGAGCCCTCCCTCAAGGGGCGAGCCGCGCGGGGGCGCCTCGGGCCGCAGATCTTTGGGCTCGGCCCGATGCCTACCTGGGCGGGGCTCGACGCCGACCTCTGCTGGCAAAACCAGCGGCTACGCGGAGGTGTATGCCAAAATGGTGGGCCGAGTAGACGCCCAGATCATTGTCGATGTGCCGAGACTTCTTCCTGGCGCGTGCACCCTCCGATTCTCGAGCTGGATAACCTCTGGTTGCGCCACACTGCTGCTCCATCGGCCTCATGCTTCCCCTCCTCTTCAACCCAGTGTTGGGTATTGACTAGATCATGACGTTACCTATCCCTGTTCTGACGAAAAGCTTCAGTTGTGACATCGTTTTGGCTCCGATGTGACCTGTGCGCAACAACGTTTGACGGCAGCATTGCACCCGTGTTCCTACTTACCAAAACTTGCGATACATGCTCGTTTGGTTGCACCTCGATGTGCACCGACAGTATACGCAATGCAATGATACGTTACGCATTGGAACCCGGCTGAGTGCAGCAATGCCCTCCGCCGCGGTTGCGCAGCAGCGAAGCAGGAAAGTTGTTGAGTGCGATACCCGTGCCAGTTCAGTGCCCAGTCTTCTAATCTAGTGCGGGTCTTGAACATGTTTCTTGCCCTCAGATTCATATTCTCCCTCCTGGTTTTCTTTCAAGTTCTGTGAGGGCTCTGTGGGAGCCTCTCGGGGGCCTCTTGGGACACACAATTGGGAACCTCTTGGGACCCTTTTGGGGTGTGTGGGGTCGTTGTTATGGGCGCGATGGCACTTTCGAGCTCTCCTCCCGAAGAGGCTCTGTTGAACCATGTTGGAGGCGTCTGGGCGGGTGTTGAGGCCTCATGGGAGACCTCTTTGGGCGGGGAGGTCTCGAGTGACCCAGAGTCCATCGGGGGGCTCTCCATTTTCAAAACGTTTCCTAGCTGTCTTTGCTCCAAGGGTTTTTAGCTATCCCCCAGAAGGAGTGGCCACCTGGGGCTTTCTAATCTCATGTTTGGGGCAATTGGTTGGGTGTTCGGGTTCTCGCCACGCTGCCGCCTCGTGGGCGCGCGTGCGCGCCCCGTGCGCTGGGCGGGGGGAGGTTGCCGAGGCTTCGCCACGTGGCCGCCCGCAGACGCCTCGCGGGCGCTCGCTTGCACCCCGTGCCGTGGGGGTTTCTCCGAAGGTGCGCCACGTTGCCGGAGGAGGAGGAGGAGGAGGAGGAGGAGGAGGAGGAGGAGGAGGAGGACGCGGCCGCCTGGTGATGCGTTCGTAGGCGCCCTGTGCGCCGGGGAAGCATGTCGAGATTGCGCCTGCGTTGCCGCCCGGCCGCCTCGTGGGCGCTCGTGGGCGCCCGGGATGCTGAGCTTGCACCACACAGCTTGCACCACACAGCTTCCACGACCTAGCTTACACCACGCAGCCTCTAGTGCAAAGCTCACGCAGCATACCTCACACCACATAGCTCAGACCGCATAGCTGTCACCTCCAGCCCAACCACATTGCTTACATGGCATACAGTGCCCCACACAGCTTACACAGTCTGGTTTGCACCTTCATAGCTCACACCGCATAGCTTACAAGCCATTGCTTACACCACATAGTGTATACCGCACAGTTGCCACCTCTACAATGTAGTAAGTCGCTGTTTGGTGTCAACACTAGCTACGTTTCGTGTATACTGTATATGCGTACATGTATACATGTGTACATAAGTAGATATGTCTGCATATGCGTACCTAAACAGTTACCTATATCCAGATATTATGATATCCAGAATTCCAGGTCTCGAAATACCGATTGGTAATTGGATGGGTCTGCAGGGATTTCTGCTGGTGCCCGGTCGGTGGCTGCCCGTGGGCGCCTCGTGGGCGCCACGAGGGTCGGGTGGATGCGCCAGGGTTGCGCCTGGTGCCTGGTGGATGGCCGCCCGTGGGTGCCTCGCGGGCGCCCCGTGCGCCGTGTGGGCGTGCCGGGTGTCCCGCTGGTGCCCAGTGGGTGGCCGCCCGTGAGCGCCGCGTGCGCCGGGTGCACCGCACGGCTCGCGCAATGCCTGCACCGCACAGCTTGCAACGCCTAGTTTGCCGCACGCTTGTCTCGCATGTGCTGCAGCATGCGCAGAGTGCATCGCATGGCTTGCAGCGCACAGCTCGCACCGCTCATTCTTTGCATCGCATGGCTTGCATCACACGGCTTTCGCGACAGAGCTTGCATCACAGAGCTCGTGCCACGTAAATTGCACCACATTGTTTTCACCACGCGGTGTGCAACACATACATTGCACCATCCGCACATGCTTTGCAACCTATTTACTGCACCACGAGGGTGCAACAACCCACTACTGTTTAGTGGGTAGCGCTGGCTGGCACGGTTCTGATGTGTTTCAATGTGTTTCGCATCTTGGGGCATCTTCTGGAGGCTTCCCCGAAACTCTTGGGGCATGCTGGGGAGATCTTAGAGCATTCGGATGCTCGTTTGGGCCGACTGTAGGTTGTAATGAGACGCCTTGGAGTCGTTTGGAGGTCATGGGCCGCCGTGGAGTCGTTTGGAGGATGTTTGGAGCGCCGGGGAGCAAACATAGGGGGGGCAGTTTAATGAGCCCAGGTGCTAGCAGGGCGCGGCGGCGGCTTTCCCAATGTCTACCAGAGTTGGTTCCAAATAGAAAAGAACGAATTGATGGGAAGGATTGTATTGGAGTCCATGGGGCTCCATGACTCTGTTAGGCTCCAGTGGACTCCAGTGGACTAGACTCGACTCCATAGGGCTTCAATGGACCCACTGGACTCCATCAGACTACTCCATAGGACCCCATCGGACCCGAGTGGACTCCATGGTGCTCCATTGCAGCACCCGTGCGGCTCCATTGGATTCCATACGATTCCATTGGCCTCCCCATGGGACTACACATAGGACTACATTGGACTCCACTGGACTCCGTCTATCAGCATAGGAAAGCGTTGGGCCCCCCATGTATCCCACGGACAACGATTGGTCTCCACAGTGATCCAGTGGGACTCTCTTCAAATACTCACAGGACTCCATGGGACTCCATGGAATTCCCGTACTACTCCATAGGACCCCATCGGACTCCATCGGAACAATCCTACGATTCCATTAAACGCTATTGCGGTCTTTTGCACTCGAAAACACCATTGGGCTCTACTGGACTACGCTGGACACCTAGAGGATTTCATCGGATTCTACGGGACCCTCAGTGGATTCCATTTTCTTCCTGACTCCATCGGGCTCTATTAGATTCCATTGCTCTCCATATGGCTATGACTCCGGTCGACTGCACCATCAGAACATCCATAGGATTCCATTGGACCCCATGGGATCAAACCACCGGGTTTCATTCAATTCCGTTGGACACTGATGTAATCATTCGATTTCATTTGGCGCGGTAGTCTACCTAATCAATGCATTGTCATTCCCTAGGGGTCCATTCTATCACCCAAGATCTTGGAAGGGGGAAGCGAAAGGCAGCCGCAGCAGTTCTAAAATTCAGATAGCATTTGTTCCCCATATCCTAAGGATTGGGGTTCTTGTTCCCCATATCCTAAGGATTGGGGTTCTTGTTATTACTCTGACGCCTCCCACTGCTCCTCCTTCCTCCTTCCTCCCGCTCGCGCCTCCCTCCTCCCAATGATAATCACCAGATAAGACAAGACAAGATAATATACTACAAGATAAGATAAGATAGCACAATATATGATAAGAAGAGATTTCAAGATAAGATAAGATAAGATAATTCACACTCACACTCTCTCATGGTCACAAAACGCTGCCAGGGGCATCATTTGGGAGCCCCAAGGGGGAGCCACCCTGGCTGATCTCACGAGCCCGTTCGCGCCGATTTTGGTGGGACGTCTCAGCTAGAATTGCCGTTTGGCGCCCCCAACATGTATCTCTTGAGAGCCTCATGGTCACAAAACGCTGCCAGGGGCATCATTTGGGAGCCCCAAGGGGGAGCCACCCTGGCTGATCTCACGAGC